ACAATTTATATGTGTGTGTATGTATATAGTGTATATATACACACACATATATAAATACATGTATATAAAAATACATATGAAAATGTAAGAAAGCAAATATGGCAAAATGTTATGAATGTTCATGATACTATTTTTTAACTTTCTGTATGTTTGACATTTTTCATATTTTATTTTTATCATTTTACACAATTGACAGGTAAGAAGAATTAAAATAGTCTTCAGCTGATCTTGTTTGCAGACAATCCATGACTTCAGGGGTCCCTCTAGATCTCAGGGTCAATTTATCCCACTGTACCAAGTGGACAGAGCCCTCCTGGCTATGCCTTCCGTCTTCTATTATAAAAAGCACTCGGTTCAGGTGGCTTGTGCCCATCTTCGGGATTCCTTGCATTCCTCCAGGACATAGACTCCCATTGTATTCCTTTCCTGGCCCCACAAGGGAAATTTAGCATAACTTTTTCTCTCTTACTTGTTTTTTTTTTTTCCTTTGAGAAAAGAAACAATCAGATCAGAACAAAATCTGAAAAAGTCTGTGGCATTGTAAAAAGACAGTGTTCTAGAAGTTTGGGACTTAGTGGAAAGTGCTTCATGCTTTTAGCAAAGACTTGAGCACAGAGGAGCAGCCCAAGGGGGGAGGCAGAACCTGGAGAGTGATTGTGAAAGTGTATTCCTGAGGCCTGCTTTCATGTAAAACTGGCACGGAGAGCCTCTCTCTCCCAGCTCCTTGTCAGCTCCGAGCTGCTGAGTCTGAGCCAAGCCTGAAGGAAACAGATACCTGCGCATACCAGTCACAGGGGACAGCTCCTGTGCGTGGTGTTGCGGGGAATACGGAGAAATCTCAGAGATAAAGGGCATAGGGAAGGGGATCCAGGAGAAGAGTTAGGTGTGTTTAGGAGTGATTAGAGGACTTTTTTGGTGTGTTTTTTATCTCCTTTAATTTTTCACTGGGAGAGGTGATTAACTGTTGTGCATCCAAAAATAGTTTAAGCTAAACATAGCATAGCTGACAGAGGTTGTTATAAAATAGAACTCGGGTGTGGGAATGCTGCCTCTTAGCTGTAATCCTTCCCCTGGGTAAAACAATGTCAATGCCATGAACTAAAACCAAGGTCAACCTTGAGAATCAAGCACAAGAACTGAGCTCTTTATAATTCAGGAGGAAAAGTTCATTCTCATGGGTATGCAGACTTTAATAAGCATCATCTTTTTAAAGAGAGGAAGAGACCACTATTATGATTTAGTTCAGATTCTTAATTTTATGGATGAGGGATATCGAAGTAATTTATCCAAACTCACATATACAGTTGGTGGTGGAGGTAAGATTCACAGTTGAGTGCTTTTCCTTTTATAGCATGTGGTTTCTCTTAATTTAGGATTCTTTCCCCTCTGGATTATGATTAAACGTGAATACAAGTAAAATATGATTAAAACTCAGAAGATTGTGCGCTGGTCTAATTGAAACCCTGTAAAACTTTGATTAGGTTCTTCAAGATGGAGAGAAAACTGTAGCTGGCAGATTGTCGGGATACAGTCAGCAAAATAATCAGAGCCTCCAGTTAGAGGCAGGTGTTGCCCTTCAAGTGGTCTGAACTCAGGGAGATGCTCAGAGATGATTCCAAGTGTGCCATCTAAAGAGCTACCTGGGTGTCGAACGTGTGGGTGCCTGTGTGGGGGTGGAGGACCCGTATTTCCTGGCCGTATGCATTATGGAATCAGACCAGCAACCACTGTGAAATAGGAAATGTGGTTCTGGGCCCACGCTGGGCATAAGCAGAAGAAATTTGTTACTACCTTACTCTAGACCATCCTGAATATACTGCCCCCCGTACAAATTCCTTGGAAAACTACATTGATTTATTTGCTTATTTTTATTTATTTTTAATATTAAAAACGTTTATTTTGAAATAATTTTAGATATACAGAAAGGTTGCAAAAACATTGGGAAATATCCTCATATATCCTTCATTCAGATTCCCAACATGTTAACATTTTACCAACTTGATGTATTATTCTGTTTTTCAGAGTCACTTGAAAGTACATTGCCAACAATATAATGCCTCTTTTATGCCTAGGTTCTTCAAGGTGTATTTCACAAAACAGACAGATGTTCTTTTACATAGCATAGTACAGTTATCAAAACCAGGAAATTAACATTCATTCAACTGTTATTTAATCCATGGACATTCACATTTCATCAGTTGTCACACTAATGTGCTTTATAGGAGAGGAAAAATATATTTCTCTAGTGTGGAATTCAATCCGGGTTCACATTATGCATCTTGCTGTCATGTCTCCATAGTTCCTTTTAAATTCCTCAGTCTTTTTCATGACCTAGACATTACTGGACAGTTAATTTGTTGAATTTCTTTCCGTTCTGGCTTATCTGATATTTCTTCATAATTAGAGTAAGGTTATTCCTTTTTGGAAGTAATACCACAGAAACAATGATGTGTTTTTCTCAGTGCATCATCCCAAGAGGCAAGTGATACCTATACCCATTGCCCATTAGAGGTTATATAACCTCGAGCAATTCGGTGAGGTGGTCTGGAAAGTCCTATGCTCTAAAGTGACTATTCTTTCCCATCTGTAACTAATAAGGGTTTTTTGGGAGATACTTCCAGATGATATAAAATTACTGGTTCTTATCAAACATTCACCCATTGATGTTAGCATTGTGGTGATTCTTTCCTAAAACAATTATCATTGTGATTTTTGCCAGATCATTTTCTAAGTCCATCATTCCTTCCACATTTATATACAACATTTCTTCTATATTCATTAGTTGCCATTGTACTGTGAGAAAGAGATTTCCCTTCTTTTCTTCCTTCCTCCCTCTCTCTATCTCTCCCTTTCTGTCTGAATGTATTTACTACGTATGGACCCATGGATTCTTAACTGTAATCTGTGGGCTATAATCTGTACTGTCAATATTTATATACTTATTTATTTTTAAAGAAAGAGAAAGGGGGAGGGAAAGAGAGAAACACTGATGTGAGAAACATCGATGGGTTGCCTCCATTATGCACCCCGACCAGGGATTGAAACTACAACCTTTTGATGTACAGGATAATGCTCCAGCCAACTGAGCCACTGAGCCAGGTGTCAATACTTATTCTGAGACTCCAATTGTCCCGGATTGAGTCTCTTCAAGCTGGTTACTTACCCTTTTTTCATGCCCTGTATTCTTTTAGCGTGTCTCTACTTTCTGGCCCAGCCCAATGTTCCAGGTTCATTCTGTACTTTCCCAAGTCCACTCTGAAATCAGCCCTTTTCCCAAAGATCCGTGCTTTCTTTCAGTGGAGCATGGCATTTAGATCCCACAATCTGGGCACTAAGTTTGTTTATTTTTAGCGGGATGCCCCAAGTAACACTTTTACAAGCACGTTTTATCATTTCACTCCTCTGTAATTTCCTGGGCCTTTCTGCTAGATTAGATTAGATTCCACTTTTCCAAACCCAGGCCAGTCCTGGTGCTGCCTCCTGTATTCCAGGAAGGAACGTGCACCTACTTGCTCTCATTTTCAGAGTAGCATCTCTTCTCCTGGTGGCTACAAATTTGGGAACAGGCTCCCCTGAGTCCTTCTGTCCAACCAACTCCTACAGCTGTTGGGAACTGCCCTGCCTAGTTTCAGGAGCTGTAACCATTCCCCACCCCCATAGCTAAGGCTGAGTGAGCGACTTTCAGATCATAAGCCTCTAAAGGAGACAAAGCTTATCTCCCTGGTAGGAGCACCTTCTGCTCCTTTTCCCATAACTGGACTCTAATGCTTGATCAGTTAGCCAATGATGGGGGAGATTCTCCAAGGGGGGAATGACCTAAGACAGGCATGATCACATGGAGGCCCCAGGAAAGGACTTGAGGGGCTATGAGTAAGGGGGTGATGGACCCTCACCCCTTGGCTTTGACAAAGCCTGAGTCCTCATTCCGTCTGTGAGAATTTTCTGAAAATTCCTTGGCTATCTGCCTCCTCTGCCTGACTTAAGCCTGAAACAATGACAGAGGGGGGTGCAACCCTGTGCTGGAAAGGGCGGGTTCCCTGGTGATCAGGCCTGAGAAAGAATATGTAAAATCCTGTGAAGCCTGCTTTGCTAAGAATGCTCTCAATTAAATGATAAGGGTCCAAGCAGGAAATGAGTTTGTTTCCCAAAGTTTTGTAGCCCTTTAGCTAACAGACCCTGACTCAGAATAGGCCCTCGTAATTCTTTGTATGTTATCTATTGTTTGATCCTTACTGCCTGACAATGATTAATAAACTTTACCTGTATTCCTGTGCAAATTGAAACCCAATAAAAGCCTGTCAAGGCAAGGGTGGGGGGTGCTCTCCCCTTGAGAGAGTGGCCATGCCATCCCTTTTCCTCCACAGGATTTCATAGTCCGTGTAAATTTGTCTTGTATCTCATCCATAACACCGAGGACACTGCGGGCCAGTGTCCACATCATACAGCAACCATTTATTCTGAACCAAAAACTAAAAAATTGCAACACATGACCTCCTAAGCATAAATATACTTATGGGTAGAATGAAACAAGGTATTTGAAATCAGGAAATTCTGGAAATTTTACTGTCCGCAAGTACACACTCTTAATGGGGTGTGCCACGCATCTGTGCCCTTACTCTTAATGGGGGCACAGATGTGAAGAAACAAATGGTAAATGTGGAAAGAACTTTTCCACTCATTACTCTTGGACCTGTAGCCTGTTACCTGGTCTATATTTCCCAACCATTTTTCTTCGAAGTTTCAGGGAGGGTCTTTGCCTCTTATGCCTGTTTAATTCCTGGTAGTAGAGCTCATAAGTTCTTCTTTCCTGCCATCCTGGGTATATCAGGACTAAATTAGGCCCCTGTCAAAGCATTTACTCTCCATATCAATTTTCAAATGCTCTAAATATCAACCCTCCGAAAGGAGACCGAGTGCAGTGAGTGACGGTGGACAGGGAAAGTAACTAACGTAACACATATGTTTCATTTTCCCAGTCCTGAAAGTTTTCCACGGCCAAGTCTGGCATTTTTATTGTCTTAAAGTCGCACTTTGTTATCATTTCACTGGAAAACACATTCCAGTTGTATATTCTGAAACGTCTTCCTGGAGTGATGGCAGTTTTCACTAATCCCTGAAGCCGTGGCCTTTTCTAATGCAGGGGAAACAGAAGCACAAAGGAGGCCTGTCTGAGCTGACATCCAGCTCCGGGCTTGATTTCAGTTTAATCTTGGCAAGTCATGCATCTCGTGTACCATGTCCACTGCTGCTTCTAGCCCATCTAGTAAATTTGCAAGGGTTAGAAGAATGTGCCTAGAAGGTCTCACTCTCACAAGTAATTAGTTGGTCACTCCCATGCATAACTCATTAGCCAGAATTAGTCCTATGACTTCACCCACCACAAATGAGACAGGAATTATAGTCCTACCATGTACCCAGAATAAGGGGAGAACAGGAAATAGGTGGCAACAAGGCTAATGGTAACTAAATGCCTCATAATTGGTTGTATTTTATAAATAATCAATAATATTTTACCTTATTAGTGGTAGAAAAAGTAGTAGTGAGTGCTTCTTATAATAAGTGGCCTCTTAGGTTTTATGGACAGTAGAGAGCATTAACAAGATTTCTTTCTAGCCCCACCTACCCAAATGGGTAACACTCAAAATCCATGGTCATAAAAACACTTACAGCCAATAAACTAGCCCCACAGCTCACAGATGTCTTCATGGGAGCTGCTGTGCCCAGGCTGTGCTATCTGCATGTATGGAGGAGGGGCTGTGTCCTTGTCTGCCACTGTGGTTGCACCCTCTGTCTTCATCCTGTGTCCTTCCCCCGTCTGCCCTACTGCTGCAGTGCCTGGGCTCAAGTTCCGTCTTGCCTGAGTCCTGGTGGTCTTGTGGCTCTTGCTGTGACTACTGCTTTTTCTTGGACCCTTGTTGCCTTGTCAGGTCCACTAAAGTTGATTAGTATTATTTTAGGCAGGAGCTATATTTGGGCCAACGCTTGGTCTGGTGACCCTCATCTCAGCCTGAACCCTGGTACTATTCTGAGGCAGGTCCTCTGGCTGGTGCTGGAATCTGGGCCCAATTCCGGTTGCCTTTTGGCAAGAGTCTCCCAGGAATGTACAACCTTGGCTGCACAACCTGTTTGGCTCTAGCTGCAAATACCCTCACTAGACAGCAAAGCATCCATTTTCACACCCCATGCTGATGCTGAGGAGGCCTTGCTTCTCCCACTCCAAATAATCACTGAGCTTTTCCTAAGGAAGAGAGACCAAATGAAAGAAAGTCTGTCCCTATTGCCCTGTGAAGCTTTAAATACCATACAATGCTTTGCATTTCCTCTACAGAAAATAAAATAAAAACAGCAACAACAAAAAACATGTTCACAAACATTCCTGCCCCACAAACATCCCTGCCCTTGAACATTACACTCCAGCCGTACTAAGCTCACTGCAACCATCTGCTCTTCCATGCACTAGGCTCTCTCATGCCTCAGGTCTTTATAGAGGCCTTTTGTTTAGAATATCTACTGCATCTTGCTTAATCCAGCCAGTTCTTCAGTGTCAAGCCAAAGGTTGCCACTGTCCCACCCCCTTGACACCTTCCTTGATTTCTGCAGCCTGATCCGGAGTCCCTTCCTCTAAAATCCCACTGTATTTCAGCCACGCCGGTCTAATCATTGTGTCACGTTACAGTTGTGTATGTCTGTCTCTGCACAGTGAGACCCTGGAAGGAGGAGCCATGCCCTTGCATTCCTGAATATCTTGTCTCCAGCACAAAGCCTGGCACATGAGAAAGCTCCGGAGATGTTAAATGGATGTAGGGCTGTGCTCCTGGTGAAGAGCATGGTCAATCAGTCACCAGGCTGCAAACTTGAAAGCTCCAGTAGGGCCCTCTCACTGGTAGTGAGGGTGACAACAAATCTCAAGACAGAACAAAAGAAAGGCAAGAGAGGAAGATGCCATTCATGTCAGTTTTCCTCAAGTGTAGTGGGTCGTGGGGAGGGCCCAGCAGTGATGCCAGGCAGGAAAGATGGGGCTTCTCTCAGGCACCAATGTGTGCAAAGGAAGAGCTGTAGCACCAAGGCTGCTAACACAAAAGCCTCAGCCTGGAGAAGGCACCTGAATGGCCATTCTGAAGCCATGATTTCGCTGTTGAGTCCCACAGCTATGTTCCCAGATGCTCCCTGGAAGTCCTCTGGACATGAGGTTTGTGATACACAAAGCTAGATTCATTATCATCCTTTCCACCTCCTGGACTTTCTCTTTGGTAAGGGTCCTACCAAACACCCAACTGCCTGAGCAAGGAATCTGAGTATCATTCATGATGCTTCTCATGTCCTCCCCACATCTGACCCGCCCCCAAGACCTGTCAGTGTTTGGGCCTGAACATCTGTGAATTCTGCTGGTTAAGTGCCTCTTACTTCCATCTCCTTATCTCCCTCCATTGTTACTGTCTTCATTCAGGCCATAATCCTCTCCCAGACTTTAAACTCATCTTTCTGCCTTTAGTCCCTGCATTATGCTGTTAGGTATATCCCTCCTATTAAAAAAATATTTTGGAGGCTAATTATTGTCAACAGAATGAAATCTTATTTCTTTCATCTGCAAGTGACAAAAAATCCTGATGCAGAGGACATAAACCAATAATTTTCCTAGTGACAGACAGACATTGAGAGTGTGTGCAAGATGACCAGCTGGAATACAATAAGAAAACATTGGAACTTCCTCTTCTTTTCTAACAGTAAGAAATCCAAGTTTACTGATATATATGAAAATCAATACTGGTGAATTCACTCAGTACTCACGCCATGTAGTAACAATTACATCCCCTCTAGATATAGGGAAGATGTAATTATAAATTGGGGAAGAAGTGACCAAATGCAGCTACTTCATGTGTGCCTGGGTAAGTGAATTTAAACATCATACTACCTGGGTTTGTATTTTTTGTTGTTTTTTTGGAAAGCTGGGCAGGATGGTGAAGATGATTTTTCCTATACATTTTTTATTTAAGTATAATTTCTAAAACTGAATTTATTTAGTTTTACCTTCTGTAGAATTTCTATAACTAATTGAATCAAACAGAATATAATTTTTTAAGTTGGCTTTTTTCTTTTGCTTACCATAACATTTTTCAGATTCATGTATAGTGTTTTGAACTGATATATGCTTGACTTCCTAAGAAGGTGAGAATTTTTTCCCCAAAGTGTACTATTTTATGCTCTCATCAGTGGTTTATGAGAGTTCAGGTTGCTCTATGTTCTGGCCAACATTTTATATACTCAGACTTTTTCATTTCAGTCATTCTAGTAAGCTCATATTCTATTGGGGTTTATATTTGCATTTCACTGATGACTATACTGATCAACTTTTCATATGTTTAATATCAACTTGTATATCTGCCTTCATGAAGTGTTAAGTCTGATGTCCTTTAAAAATTATTGACTTGTATTATTCATTTGTAGTTTTTATGTATTCTACAGTTTTTATGTACATATACATATATGTATATACAGATACATTGTATATGTATATATGCATATGTATATACTTATGCATTATATATACATTATATTATACACACATGCACATGTATATGTGTGTGTGTGATACATCTATTATGGATATTTCCTTCCAGTCTGGGACTTGACTTTTCATTCTGTTAGTAGTGTCATTGGATAAGAATTTTTTATTTGTGGTAAATGTATAGATTTTAGAATTTATATTTCTTCCCATGGGGTTAATAGTTTCCAAATCCCATCTGAGAAACTTTTACCTGGTTGTGAAGATACCCTCTTATGCTTTATTTTAGTATAGAATAGGAGTGAAAAAAGGAGATAACCCCTAGTATTATTGTGAAATTAGCTTTGAGTTTACAGACTCCCTAGAAGGGTCTCAGGATGACCCAGTGGGAGCCACAACACACTCTCAAAGCCTATACTCTGTATTTTACTGATCATTTTGTCTGTTTTATCCGTAGTATAAAAATCTCCAACTAATTGTGATGTTTTTCCCATTAAGTCTGTCAGATTTTTCTTTATACATATGAAAGCTGTGTTATTTTGTGCATTCCCATTTAAGATTTTTACATTTCCTAATGAACTGACTCTTTTTTCATATCCTGCTTTATCTTTGGCAATATACTTTGTCTTGAGGTCTAACTGCTACACAAGTAGCCACTCTTGCTTTCTTAAATACATAAATAATTTTTCCATCTTTTTAAAAATCTGTCCATGGCTTTATATGCAAAGTGCATTCCTTATAGACAGCATATAAACTATTTGTGCTTTTCTTGAACATCAGTATGATAATCACTTTTTAAAATTGGAGCCTTTAGTCTATTTATAGTTAATGTAATTATTGACGTGATTTAGCTAAAATCCACTGTCTTGCTAATTGTTTTATTTGTCGTATCTGTTTTTTCATTTACTTCTCTTTCTTTCTGATTTCTTTTGGATTAATAGAATATTATTTAGTGTTCCATTTTATATGCTCAATGAGATTTTAGTTATGCCTCTTTGTTTTGCTTTTTAGTGGTTGCTATAGGGATTAAAATATTCATCTCTAACTAATCATAGTCTACAACGAACTAATATATATACCACCTCATATACAAATTAAGGCTCTCAACAGCATGCTTCCATTTACCTCCTCTTTCCTTTCTGCTATTGTTGCCTTACATTTTAATTGTATGCATATTATAAATCACACTCTACATTGCTTTAATTTGTACTTTACACATGTAATTATGTGAGTCTTTTTACTAGCAGATGGAAATCCAACTTTAACTCAAGAATATTTTCTTGTACAATTTATTTTATTGTGTTTAATGATTGTGTCTAACCTCTACCTTTTCTTTTTTCTCTTTTTGGAACTCATTTGTTTCTCTGGGTGCCTCAGTATACTCTCCCAGCCTTTACAAAGATTCAAGGACAACACAGAGATGCCTTTCAGTTCCAAAAAACATGACTAAGAATTAATAAAGTCAAGAAATGAGTGGGTGAAGCAATCACCATTGAGATGAAGTCACAGCCAGACAAATGGAAGAAATATTTTAAAGAACTGAGCAACTACACAAAAGGATGAAAGCCATGAGGTAAAAGATTAATGATTTTTTCCTGTCCAATATGTTGTTAGTTTCCTCCAGCAGTTCTGTTTCACTAGGGTCTGTTTAAAATGTCCTGCTTGTCCTCACCCCCTCTGACTGATAGACAGCCTCATGTATAATTGCTGCTTGATTTGATTGTATGCCCACTTGGGCTCAGGTTCAGCTGTTCAGCTGTTGATGCACTTTAAGTGGGGCCATTCTATGAACAATGGAAAGCTTGGTGGTCTCTGTTCTTAGGAGCCAGTGGTGAAACAATAGACACTTTATCATCCTCCACTGAGATGTCAGCAGCAGGAAGAAGCCTTTCTGTTTCTCAGCCAACTTGGGTCCTCCTACCTTAGGAGTAAAGAGGCAGGATTCATTTTTTAGCTCCTCCTAAGCATCTCAGAAGCAGGGCATCCAGAAATACTTTCCTTAGAAACGTTATTGAGGTGAGAAGTGGGAATCCATGGATCTCAGTGGATTAAGTTCTCCTCCTGGATCCATATATTCTAATCCTTGACCTGAAGGTCTTCAATACTGTTTCCTGGCTCTTTCCTGGCTCAGCTAGAAAAAGTCCTGCACGTGCAGTGACCTCCACCTTTGCTATTGTCAGTGGCAGCCATGGCAATGCTGCACTCAGGAAAAGTAGCTGGATTGGAATGAAAAGTCAGGACATGTCAAGCCACCATCCTTCCAGAATTTCCTACTCTAGAGACTATTATTATGTAAAATAAAACTGACCACAGAGATCACCAGCATGGCCATCACGTTCTCCATTGGATGGT